TAAGGCGACACAAAGAAAATGTCAAGAGTAATTTTTTGTTGGAAATTTGTTGTAGAATTTACACCCTGCGTATGTCCGGACTTATACGTAGACACCCTGTTTATAGCAAATCAAAATACAACAAATATTGTTTATCAACTCGCCTTACGTTAAATGTTAGCATTGGTGTAAATTATTTTAAGATGAAAATCTAAATTCAACTCACTCTTAGCACGGACGAAGTCGTGCCGAGGCCTGATAGTACAGTATATCATTGTTTTCTAAAAAGTTGTAACGAAACGCTCGTTACGACCTAGTATGAAGGCGAGTACGCGCTCTGACCGGTAGGTGGCGACTGCAGGATGACGGCGCTCGCAAGCGAAAACGCGAGATAACATCCATAAGAACCCCGACGCGGCCGCAGTAAGGGAGTCCGATCATGGTACCGATCTCGACAGCGCTTGGGGTTTGACCACGCTCTAGAGCAGGCATGCACAAAACCCCGGTCGGCGGGCGTGTGCTCGTCTGATGGCACGAGTCGAACTCGCGTGTTCGTTCAAGGTCAGAATGCTTTCAGCAGCAGAGTGGGGAAAAAGGTGAAAGTAGCGGGCAGCAAGTTAGATATGGTGGGAAGCAAGTTAGACGAGTGGAGACGGTGCGTTGTGTGTGTAATACACAAATACAGGGAGTCACAGCGAGGAATAGCGGCGGCAAGCGCTGGTTTTTGTCTGTGAGCAGTAAATTCTATCTTGTACTTTCGAACTGGTATGCATTAGTTACAGAAAGCTTTAAAAAAAATATATGTATATATGTATATATATATTATATCGTACAATATAAATATTGTAGCGACAAACTCGAAATGAATTAACCACGAATCCGTATTAGGAATTATTGTATAAGTCTCATGAAAATTAAGGGACCCGTGAGGCTATTGGAAGTAAAGCTTGTAGTTGTGGCAGACGCCCCCACTCTTAGAGTCACAGTGTACCGGATCAGTGAGGAGTTGGGACTCAGCGCCCGCCGTTTACTGAGGAGTGGGGGCCTAGCGCTCGTGGGCGCACTTTCTGTGCATGCCTGCACTAGAGTAAACCAGAGACTCTTCCGAACAAAGATGGACATTCGTGGGATTTTACCCTCGAGGGATTCCTTTCTGCACATACGTAAGCTGACGTCACAGCTACATGTCGCACAGTGGTCCGGATGCCCGAAAACCTGGCCAAAATGCAATTTTTGAAGTTTCGAACACACTTTTTTCAATATTGTGCGTGTGTTGTATACATATGAGTGCATTAAATGCCGTTTGAAATTTTAAAAAATAGTAATCGGTTACTGATATACAGAGGTTCAAAGTTGACGAAATTTCATGCTGCTTGATATCGTGAACAGTGGCGCATATTTATTGTGTCACGGAAAGTTCATCCTCAATAGATTCATATGTAAATCATTTTACTATTAAAGTAGATGTTATAAACATAAACTTTCCACAAGAACAAAGTAAAATATCTTTGGATTCACTATTGTAATTCCCTTCTCAATATGGTATAAATTTTAGTTATCTTTCGATGAATCGGAAGGAAAACAAAGATGATAGTCACCGAGTGACACGCTCTACCAAGTTTCTTGATATAAAGTAACATGTCAGGTATGATATCCAACTGATAAAACTTGCGCAAATTTGCGCCATTTTAAGTTATTTAAATTTAAAGTCCATGCTTATAAGGAAAAGAAGACTGTTTACGCGGCATTCAAACAAACCTTATTATCCTTAATTTTAATGTAACATTAATTTATTATTGTTATTTCTGCCAATGTATTCTAACTATGTTGCCCTATAAACCTAGAAATCCTATTTCATACCAAATTTATAATAATTTAATATTTTTAATATGCATGTCGACCATATTGGATCTGCGATTTTGAATTTTGCAATTCTGATACTAGATTCATAATTTGCGGCCCAAACAACCATAGAATACCAAGTTTCATGAAAATGTAACAACTTCTTAATATACGTGTCGGCCATATTGTAAATAACCATAAAATACCAAGTTTCACGAAGATCCGAAAACTTCTTCTAATTTTGGCCAGATTTTTGGTCATCCGGACCACTGTGTGTCGTCTGCTACCATATATGTATCTGAATCGCCAGAGGAGGTGCATTTAAGGGACCTTTGCAATATTCTCGCGTTTTTAATGGACAAATAAAGGACAAAAGTGTTAGTGCTTTTTTCAATTCATATGTCTACTTCTTTCTTATAAGTTTGTCTGGAAGTATATATACATATATAGGCGTGTGTATATATATGTTATAAATAAGTTATTTTATTCTTATAGCTACTTTCTGGAAATGCTTGCAGTTTTTTCCTGTGATCGAATTACTGTGATTTAGTTTCAAGTCGATTAAAATATGAAATTCGTTTTACTTAAATGTATTCAGTTTAGGGGTGCGCGGGATTCCCGAAAATATTCGGGATTCTCGTAAAATGTTCGGGATTCTCGTAAAATGTTCGGGATTCCCGAAAATGTCCGGGATTCCCAAGAATATTCGGGATTCTTGAGTTTATGCGGGATCCCGAGTTGATTCGAGATTCCCGAGAATACACGAGATCCCGCAAAAATCCGGGATTCCCGAGAATGTACGAGATCTCGAAAATGTTCGAGATTTCTGACAATGTACGGGATATAGAATAATATCTGGGATTTCCGAAAGTGTTGTTATTCTTGAAAATGTCAGCAATCCGAATGTACGGGATCTCGAAATTCTCTCGTGGGGTGCCTGCGATCATCCCACGTGACGAACTAAACCACGTCACAATTCCGTTTTTTGTTAATGGTCGATAGTCAATATGCGTTATCATATGCAAGCGGAATCGCTGTATCGTTATACCTTTTTTTTTTTTGTAAAAGTATTACATTACTTTTATTTCTCTAACATAACTAAAACAGTTTTATATAAATACCGCTACATTCTGTCGTTTGGTATAAATCCTTGATAATCATATGCTAGTAGAAAAAAATACACTTACTTCGTAGTATGATAAGAAACCTCTTGCTCTGGTCGCTTCCCCAGCCTCGCCTCCGCCATAAGTTGGCGCATTGAGACCCCTTTGAGTTCTTTCTGCTAAAGAGAATGACTGTCCATACAAGGGCGCTCCCATTACGAGTTTTTTAGCTGGAGCACCTTTTTCCATCCAGTAGTGAATGGAGAAGTTCTGTAAAACAATCACAATCGTAATAACCGTAGCAAACAACGTACAGGGTGTCCCAGAACTCCGGTAAGAACCGAAAATGGCGGGGTAGCTGGCATGATTCTGAACAACAATTTCCTTTGCAAAAATGTGGGCGGAGGCTGAATTTTTGAATTATTAACGAAAAACCACCGGCCAATCACAATAATTCAAAAATTACTGAAAAAAGTAACTGAACAAAAGATATAGTAACTCGACAAACGAAACTTCTGGAAAAAAACTGTTAGAGAAAGTACAACCACAGTATAAGTATAACCAGTAGCGTCACTTGGCAAAAGTTGCGTCTGCAAATGAGCATACCAAGAACATGGCGACGACGCTGTTACCTATATTGTACACTAGATGGTACTAATAGTAACCGACATGTGGCGGATCAGAGTCCTACCTTACCGACGAAGCCCTCTGTCTCCCATTGGAGGAAATAAAAATAGTTCATAATTCCACCACGCGTAGAAGAAACGCTTATAGGATATATAATTCTATTTAACTTTATTTGCAAAAGAAACGGATTTTATACACATATCTCGCAGTGCGCGTCGTGACAGAAACCCCTCCCAGAATACCCAATTCACGAAGAACAAAGTCCCTAAAACTCCGGTCGAGGAGTCAGTATCTGTTTCCTCCGGCGCGTGACGATCCATCCATTCGCTCGGTACGCCGCACAGCGGATGGCGGCAGAGCCTCAGCGTACCGTGGTGGAGGCGCCACACGGTTTTGTACTCCCAAAGAATAAATTGTTTGTTCTGTTAACCTTTTGAGTGAGTTAATTAATTATTGGCGAAACTGAGTAGCCATACGACACCACGCGCAGCGTCACACGTCGATTCAATTTATTGCTCACCGTTACAGTAACATCACAGTATAAGTACAACCAAAATGTTTGAATTATTAATCAAGAAATTACAATGTAATTTGACATATTGTACATACTTCAATCGTAGATAATCTAAGTGTAACCACGTTGATTATAAAAAAAATAAAAAAAATGGTACGTATTAGAAGTACAAAATGATTACAACATCCATGTAATATTACTACTTCTATTTTTCACTTAGTTTCATATGATTACTCGCATTACTTTTATGTTATACTTATAAATTTGTAACATTGTGAGTAAACTTTGAATTTGTGTTACTTAGTAATCTGAATATTATTTTTACAATCTACAAAATATATTTTTTTTTATAGAAAGATATGAATAGAATGTTTTTTTACTAAAATACTATATTTTTTAAATTCCGGCACTTATGTTCAATGTTTTATGCATACCGTTGCAATTGCCTTTCTTTTTCTCTCAGTTTAAATATGCGCGCGGTGCACACCAGTAATATGGCGGACCTCGGACACCAATATCAAAGGTGCCGACACGGAATGATGCTCCTGGTTTAATCTATACTGTGGTACAAGCATGAAGACTGTATAAGGAGTTCCAACTGTGTAGTGTAGAAGTGTTATCAAAATCCTGAGCTTGAAGTTATGAATATTTCTACCACTCGCGGCGCAAGTGAGCACAGACTACGATATGTATATGTCATATGTGTATGTATTATCATATATACATATATATTAATATACATATGTCTAGATCATATACAGGGTGTTCCAAAAATGTTGTAACACTTTGTAAGGGGTGGTTCGGGAGGTGATTTGAAACAACTTTTCCTTAGCGAAAATGTTGTCCGAGGCTTCGTTGAGGAGATATTAACAGAAAACCCCGACCAATCAGAGCGCGAGTATGCCGGCGGAGCTCCCGCGGTAGCGTGCGAGAGCGGCCACCTAGCGCGTAACCTACGCTACCGCGGGCGCTCCACCGGCATACTCGCGCTCTGATTGGTCGGGGTTTTCTGTTAATATCTCCTCAACGAAGCCTCGGACAACATTTTCGCTAAGGAAAAATTGTTTCAAATCACCTCCCGAACCACCTCTTTCAAGGTGTTACAACATTTTTGGAACACCCTGTGTATATGATATATATAGATCATATACCGGGTGATTCACGATAAACAGAACACCTAATTATCTCAGTTCAACTTAATGATAAAAGAAAATGTTAAAGGAAAAAGTTGTACTGTTTAACGGGGCAAATATGAGGATATAAAAAAGATTTCTGAATTTTGTAATTTTCAAGGTTTCTTGAAGGTCATCGGTAATTTTTGGATTATATCCTATATTTTCAACACCATAAGATTGTAGCTGACGTCAAGATGAGTACAACGATGTGTTACACTATGACCTTGAGATGACCTTGACCTGAACTTTGAACCTCTCTTCCTTTGAATAACGCATCATTAACCCCTTCCCGTGCCATTTAGTTCGTCGAAACTCTGGCTCAAGCGGTAAGCATCGACGAGCGCTAAACAGACCAGACTGATGCTTGTAAACAATCGCAATACCCAAGTATCTCGTCGCGAGTCTGACTCGCGATATTCATGTTTGGCCCCAAGTATCTCGTCGTATTTTCTTCTATCTTTAAGTCGAACTGAGATAATTAGGTGTTCTGTTTCTCGTGAATCACCCGGTATCATTGAGCTCTATCCTAACTGGAATGTGAACTCCTGTAGGAAGAAGTAGAGGCGACGGAGGTCCGAGAGAAATGCAAAATGGGTGGTTCTGGTATTATCCTATAGCAAATTTATTTGTAGAAGGGAAACAAACGTACGCCGTAGCATAACTTACCAGAGCATCACTGACCATTGTCGAGTTAGTTACTTTCACATTCTTTTCCGCATAAAATTGGATAAACATAATATAAATTGAATTGTGTCAAATAATAAAATTTAGCTCTATACCAAATTGTATATATTTGTATGATCTAAATGTTTTTGTACAAAAATATTTGTATGTAAATTATGTATAATATTTCAATATTATGTCATTATTATTAATGTTTCTATCGTTTTATATATAAATAAAAAGGAAATAAAGTTCAAATCTGTACATAATTAATCTGTAAATAATTCCTAGAGTGTTGCGAAATTCAAACAAAGAGGAGTCTGTTTTCCCTCTACACATAAATTTGCTATAGGATAGTACCACTGGAACCACTCATCTTGCATCTCTCTCGGACCGGCTTCTCTTTCGCAGTTCACACTCCAGTTAAGATAGAGCTCAATGCCCGGTATATACACTACCGGACAAGCAAACCGGAACGATTTTTCAAATACTCATAACTATGAGAGTTTTGAACCGATTTCGGTGAAACTTCGTGAGGAATAGTCTTCGAGTGTCTTCTGGGTGTGTGCAAAGTTACATTGGCGAGCGTTGATGAGAAGGGGTTAATTCACCCCCCTAAAAGGGAGGGTGTAAAAAAACGCCTCTTTGAAACAGGCCAGGGATGACGAAAGGGGTTGAAAAATTCAAAAAAACCTTTGAGGCGACTCTGCTTGATGCTCTCTACAAAATGCACCCCTTGAAATCCCTCTCGGACAAACCCACCTCCCACAACCTCCCACTTCCTTTAAAATCCACAATTTTTGGACGATGGTCTCGATTTTGGACTCAATGCATTCTCTGGGCTTCCCTGATCCAGAAAATGTCATCGCCCATACGGTGCACCCCATAGGCACCCTTTGGGGGCGTGGAACAGCTCGCAAATTTTCAACCTCCTTCGTAAGGGAGCACTTCCACACATCGGAGGGCGATGAAATTCACCATGTTAGTTCTCGATACGTTGAGGATGAATACCGAAAAGGTCCCGTTTCGAAAACTGCTCCCGGAGCTGAAGGGAGGTGGGCAGAGTTAGGGGTGGTCCACCTTCAAGTGTAAGGGTTGGAACGTTGTTTCGTTGGGTGGATTACATGTCCAAAAGTCCAGGGCATCGGGGCGACACAGTTTCGATGTCCTTTTCCCGCGTGAATGGCAATAAAATTCATAAATGTCGTTTTTTTGGGAAAACCCACCCCCAACTTCAGGCCCATCTGCAGGGTGAACGAGCAACCCCACGTCAACGCCGTTTATGGTATCATCCTACTCATCCTACTGCCCAAACGGTAGATCGATTATCGACCGCGAAAGCCACGAAACGAGCGCGGTACGATCGTGTGAGAAACGCCTAAGCAGGAAAAGCGGGAGAATGGCAGATTGCCTAACCGCCAGGCGCTTCTGCATGCCGACTCCAGCCGGCCCACTTACTAGTCTTTCAAATTTGCTCCGATTTAACAACGAAAACGTGATTGAAAAAATCTGAATTTTTGGGGGCCAGTTAATAAAGCATTCGCGCATCCGATACCATGAACGGCGTTGACGCGGGGTTGCTCGTTCACCCTGCAAATGGGCCTGAAGTTGGGTGTGGGTTTTCCCTAAAAAACGACATTTACAAATTTTATTGCCATTCACGCGGAAAAAAGACATCGAAACTGTGTCGTCTCGATGCCCTGGACTGTTGGACATGTAATCCACCCAACGAAACAACGTTCCAACCCTTACACTTGGAGGTGGACCACCCCTACCTCTGCCCACCTCCCTTCAGCTCCGGGAGCAGTTTTTGAAACGGGACCTTTTCGGTATTCATCCTCAACGTATCGAGAACTAACATGGTGAATTTCATCGCCCTCCGATGTGTGGAAGTGCTCCCTTACGAAGTAGGTTAAAAATTTGCGAGCTGTTCCACGCCCCCAAAGGGTGCCTATGGGGTTCACCGTATGGTTGATGGCATTTTCTGGATTAGGGGAGTCCAGAGAATGCATTGAGTCCAAAATCGAGACCGTCGTCAAAAAATTGTGGATTTTAGAGGGAGTGGGAGGTTGTGGGCGGTGGGTTTGTCCGAGAGGGATTTCAAGGGGTGCATTTTGTAGAGAGCATCAAGCAGAGTCGCCTCAAAGGTTTTTTTGAATTTTTCAACCCCTTTCGTCCTTCCTGGCCTGTTTCAAAGAGGCGTTTTTTTACACCCTCCCCTTTAGGGAGTGAATTAACCCCTTCGCGTCAACCCTCGCCAATGCAACTTTACACACGCGGAGGGGACACTTCAAAAGTACTCCTAACCCAGTTTCATTTCAATCGGTTGAAAACTCCCATAGTTACGACGGTTTAAAAAAGTGTCCCGCTAATTGTTTGTAGTAGTGTATATATATATCGTAGTCTGTGCGCACTAGCGCCGCGAGTGGACGAAATATTCATAACTTAAAGCTCGGGATTTTGCTAACAGTTTTCGAGTGACTTTCGTATGGAGTTGGATCTCCTTATACATCTTCATGGGTACAAGTATTTAGTCCCATCTCCTTAGCTTGTTTGTTTTGCGCCATCTGTCCCTCTATCTCCGGAAACATTTGTTTGGGTAAGGAGACATAGTGTGCCCTCTTTAATTTTTCCTTTATTTCTTTGTTATTTTTCAACGGTCGTTTAGTCGTTAGCTGGTCGCCATACGAACCAAATGCACCAAATATTAAGATACCTACGCGTCTTTATGAATGAATGAACTATTATACTGTGATCGTATGAAACGAAAATTTAAATTGCATTTTATTCAAATAGAAACTAAAAAATTGACAATTTACTTCAATAATTATGGTCCCATATTTCTTTCGTTGCTAAATCATATAAATTTTTCAATATAATTAATCGTTTAGAATTAAATTATCTTGGTGCTTCAAACCACTAAGGCTCTTTTTCAAATACTGCGACAATACTCATCATTATTTTCGTTTATTGTTTCAGCCGTTAAAAAGTTACGCTTTTATTTTTTTTTTTAAATGTTTACGCAGTTCGGATAACAGAACATCCGGATAGTAAAACGTTCGGATATTAAGGTATTCGTATAATGTGAGCTCGGATACAAGGGGTTCTACTGTGTCAAAAATGTTAATACTTTACCGACTGGTAGTCGATTAATCGACTTTTTGTCCCCAACGCTCACCGACCGGTAACTGCTATGGTAATTAGCAAGTATTTGTTACTTTCAATTGAGATACAAGTTGCTTTGCTCTGTAAGCTTTCGTATTTTTATACGATTCCCGGTGCCAGAGAAGATCTGCTGCCGAGCGGGCGGTGAGAAGGCCATAGGATGTCGACCGCTACCGGTCGGTAAAGTGTTAATTACGACTTTCGAAATACGTACGGCGTTAAAAGTCGGCTCCCAGTCGCCGGGTAAATGGTATAGAGGCGCTACGTGACCGGTTTTCTTATCCCACTGACCATGGTAATCGTAGGTCATGACGGCTATCCAATCCAGATACCTTGCCAAGGTGGGTACATCGTAACCTTCGTCGATAACTCGTTTACTCGGCGAAACCGCCGCGGACAACAACAATCCTTTCGGTTGGAACGCTTCGCTTAGTTCCTTCACCAAACTGGCAAAGCCCTCTTTGTCCGATGATGGTCCTTTTTTACAATCAACCTGAAATTCGATTATTACGAAATGCAAGTTCAAACTACCCAAATATCACCGGACGTCCATTTCGTGTTCAGTTTACGTCCGAGTGTCCAACGTCCTTTGTCGGACGTCCTTAGGACGTCCATGGGACGTCAATTTTGTAAGTCCAGGAACGTTCGCCCACTTTGTTTTCAAGGAACGTCGAGCGTTATTTACAAAGTTCGAAAATCAACAAACATGCGTTGTCATATTGGCTTCCCTAGCGACGCTAGAGTGTTTATTTTGACTCTTAAACATATAAATGACTATATCTAATGTTATTTTAGAAAATTCTACTGATATAAATCCCTAATTCATCATTCAGTATTATTTCACAGCAGCTCGAAAGTTATGGGATGCGTAGGACCAATTTGTCCGTAAAGGGTTGATATTAGGTTTATTAAATGTTTCTTTACCTGCCAGCACACTGGATACTCCCAATCCAAGTCTAAACCCTCAAACTCGTATTTCTCGATGAACTGTATAACGTTTTCGATGAATCTTCGTCTTGCGGACGGCGAATTCACTAGACGGCTGTATTTATCACCAGCGGAATCGTTCCAACCCCCTATGGCCATCAATACCTTAATGCCTTTAGACTTCAACGCTGCTATTCTCTCATAGAATTCTAAAAACAACCATTTTTGGAAACTAGTGATCAAAAGAATTATCATCATCGAAAATTGTTTTCTATTTTACGAATGATCATATACAGGGTGTCCGAAAAATGTTGTAACACCTTGAAAGGAGTGGTTCGGGGGGTGATTTGAAACAACTTTTTTCGTAGCGAAAACGTTGTCTGAGGCTTCGTTCAAGAGATATTAACAGAAAACCTCGACCAATCAGTGCGCGAGTATGGCGGTGCACCTAATTTTAATAATTTTCATACAAATCTAATAACTTTTTGGCATACAAGTCGGCCACATTGGATCCGCCATTTTGATTTTTAACATTTTGAAAACCGCGACAAAATATAAGGAATTTTATGATTTGTATGAAACTTCATATACCGGAGGGTTTCGGTCCGCTAATTGCGAATCTGTAATTAGAATTTAAGAAATCGAAATGGCGGATCCAATATGGCCGACTTGTATGCCCAAAAGTTATTAGATTCGTGTAAAAATGACTAAAAAATGAAAGAACTTTAGGTATAGAGGTCTTCTTGTATGATTTTAAATTAATTATTTCATTTATCTCTTGTCCAAAGCGGTTAAATTTAATCAGATAAATTGATTCGTCTATTTACTATTGTCAATGTCGGCCCATGGATCATGGGATTTGATCGTCAACTGCGATCCGTCGAGCACAGCGAAACCATAAAGTACGTGGGTGCACAGGTCGGTGTCAATATCCTCCGGCAAAAATTTTCCTCCTTCTTGACGATACCAGGCCCAATTTGTGAAGTAACAAATCACTTTAAATTCATCGTTATTCGATACTTGATCTTTTGAAGTTGATGTCGGCACAGGTGGCGTGGTAACAGTGGTTTGCGCTACAGTCACCGAATTTTCCTCCAAATCTTCCAAGTTTATCGGTGGATTCACAGCTGCGAATAATGAATTGGAAATACTTTTTAAAAACATTCCTGGGCTGCTATTTACTTTGGGACACCAAAAATTATGAACTTTCTTTTGCACCATTTAGTAGTTGTTGATGCCTAGATTACAAAAATGTAAGTTAAAATGTCAGGAATCCAACAGTTAAAAAGATACGCGTGTATAAAGTTGAGCATTTTTGACGCATTTAGCTGGTTAATCCGACGTCATATTGGCTTTGACCGTGGGTTTGGTGCGTAATTAGATCGGTAATGCCATTCTGTTGTAAACAGACCATCATAGATGGCGCGAACGTTTGTTACGTATAGCACTTGAGACAATAATAAATTTATGTTCAAAATATAAGTGATTTTATTTTCGAGTTTTAATGATCACACGTTTGAACAACCAGAAAACAATTTATTAATTAACAAAATCAAACAGCAATTCAAAAAGATAAACGAAACAAAAGACGGTAAAATAAATCCTCTTCTGAATCGATAAAGAAATTTCCGCCAAAGTTCAGGTGATAATCCACTGCGTAGTCGATAAGGAAGTTACCATTAACCAGGTATCGGCCACATATGAACGCTTGCAACGAATGCGGTGACAATATTGAAACCTACTGACCTAATTATCCACCCAACCCACGGTCGAAGCCAATATGGCGTCGGATTAACCACCTAAATACGTCAAAAATGCTCAACTTTACACACGCGTATCTTTTTAACTGTTGGATTCCTAACATTTAAACTTACATTTTCGTAATCTGGCATGAACAACTACTAAATGGTGCAACAAAAAGTTCATAATTTTTGGTGCCCCAAAGTAAAGTTTAACCCATCCCGATAGATAATTTTGTAGAGATTACCTTCGTTCTCCGAGTCAGGACCGTTCGCCAGTATTTTCTGCAGAGTGTGCATCAGAGGGTGGTGGCCTTGTCCACACCGTCCACGGAAGTCGTCGAGGTCTAAGGCCCAAACCATCCCCCCTCCTAGACCCATATCTCTGACGAACTGAGCTTTTCGTTGTATCGTCGCCATATCGTCGAAGCTGACCCATTGGTTGCCCTTGTAAGCATATGGGCCCATTCTATTCTCCGGATCTTGAACGACGTTCCAGCCACGTTTTCGTATCCTGTCGCAAATCTCGTAATATGATAGAAATCCAGCCGCTCTAGTGAATTCTCCAGCTTGTCCAGCGCTAGCTGGAGCGTTCAAGCCAGTTCCTGCACTTGGGTCGTTTATTGAAAACGACTGTCCGTACAGCGGCATTCCTGTTTTCGAAACAAAGAATTAAGTTGGCCACAGTGGTTTCGATGGAGAATTTTATAGCGATGAGCGCCCTTTCTAGGGAATTTGGTTGAGTTTAACCCCAGAGTGCGCATCAATGCAGATATGGGCTGCACTTTACTTTGGCGGTTCTAAAATATTTAAGTTTCTTTTACATAATCCTGTAGATTTTGTCGAGAAAACTCCGAAAATACTAGTGTTAAGGTAAGAAATCCACTAGTTCAGAAGGTATGAGCAGTTAAATGTGGCATTTTACCGTATTTGACTTTCGACGCCATATTGTCTTGTAGCCACACCCTGTCGGTAAAACAGATTCTTGGTGATGGCGGACTACATTATGTACTACTTTTATATTGTTATGCCTATTTTTGAAAACTGCCATATTTCGAATTAACAGAGTTGGTTTGTACTTATTTTCTCGGGGAGGGGGTCCAGAGGGATGGGCGAAGCCTCCTCCGCCCTAGAGTACGAATTCAACTTTTGAATTGCCTGACAAATACGGTAAAAAGGTTCACCTTTAACTGTTCATAACTTCTGAACCAGTGGATTTCTCGCCTGAAAGCTAGCATTTCTGAATTCCACTCACTGAAATCTCCAGCCTCTTGTAAAAAAAACTTTAAAACTTTAGGTCCGCCAAAGTAAAGTTTAACCCACATATGCATCAACCGCATTTTTTTGATATTTTATTACTGTGCGTTCACAACAATTTGGCGAGACAAACTCGTTCTCTTTCTCACTCTTTCCCTCTTTCCTGCTACCATGCGCTACGTCGTTATTGGCTACGGCCAATAACAAAGGACGACAGCGAACATATCGAGACCACAGTGTAAGTACAACCAGTAGTGTCAGTTGGCAAAAGTATCGTCCGCAAATGTGTATATCAAGAACATGGCGACGACGCTGTTTCCTATATTGTACACTAGATGGTCCTAATAGTAACCGACATGTGGCAAATCAGAGTCTTACCTTACCGACAAAGTCCTCTGTCTTCCATTGGAGGAAATAAAAATAGTTAATAATTCCACCACGCGTAGAAGAAACGCTTTTGTACTCTCAAAGAATAAATTGTTTGTTCTGTTAACCTTTTTGAGTGAGTTAATTAATTATTGGCGAAACCGAGTAGCCATACGACATCACGCGCAGCGTCACACGTCGATTCACTTAATTGCGCAGCGTCACAGTAACATCACTTAGACTTTGGACAAATATCATTCTATACCTTTCTCTGCCATACAGACTTTGGACACTTTCGGTGCTGGCAATCCTCCTCCATGTCTATATACTCAAAGCATATACTTTATTTCCTTCGATGAGAGACAGAGGATTTCGGTAAGGTAGGACTCTGATACGCCACATGTCGGTTACTATTAGTACCATCTAGTGTACAATATAGGAAACAGCGTCGTCGCCATGTTTTTTGTATGCACATTTGTGGATGCTACTTTTGCCAAGTGACACTATTGGTTGTACTTATATTGTGGTAGAGCAATGCGTAGTGTAGCCGACTACCACGCTGAGAGGCTGGGTTCGAATCCTGGGTGATCCGCCCCGGTTTTTCATAATTGGGTTAGGTCTGGCTAAAATATAAAGTATGGAAAAAGCCTACGGGCGTGTACTATAAACTTAACAAAGAAACAAACAGGATCTGGCCACGGAGTGGGGAAGGTGACATACCCTCTGATAAGTGGACCATGATGAACCCCATGGCATTTATCCCAGAACCTTTAGAGCAGAGGTCGGAATTTTTTCCATGCGGCGGTAGATTTTTGGGGGCTACGCCTACCAGCTTCCCCTTATCGCGCGGAGGGCCTACAAGCTGACCGAGGCACGGGACCGTCACATGTCCCGAATAGTGCGGCGGGCCCGCTCCTTCATTACTTCCCATCTAGTAAATGGGCCTGCTGCACTATTCGGGACATGTGACGGTCCCGTGCTTCGGTCAGCTTGTAGGCCCTCCGCGCGATAAGGGGAAGCTGGTAGGCGTAGCCCTCGAAAAACGGCTGCCGAGTGGAAAAAATTGCGATATCTGCTTTAGAGGATACGGATCACGGAAATTAAAAAAAGATGTAACATATACTGTTTAAAGAAATGAATACCCATAACGATGTTACGGCGAGGAGCTCCCTTTGCGATCCAGTAGTTGATAGAATAATTTGCGTTGAAGTAAGAATAGTCATCATCCGGATGGTAATACAGGGGCGCCACGTGACCAGTTTTCTTGTCCCACTGGCCGTGGAAATCGTAAGTCATCACCGCGATCCAGTCCAAGTACTTGGTCAGGGCTGGGACGTCGTAACCCTTGTCGATCACCTTCTTGCTCGGTGAAACAGCAGCGCTGAGCAACAATCCCTTCGGCCTCAGTTCGTTGCTCAGCTCTCTGAGTAAATCTGCGAAACCCTCTTTGTCCGAGGCTGGCCCTTTCTTGCAGTCAACCTATAGCAATAATAAATACTCGTTTTTACACTCTCCGTACTACAGTTTTCGTATCGGTGTAGCATTAGGCGAAACAAATATGGTGGTCTAAAATTGGATTTAATTGATTCAATTCGATTGAAGGAGTTTAAGGAAGGCACTATGGGGAGCTGAGTAAGTTCTCTAAAGCGTCCCACAGACTGCTCTGACGTAACGTGGGCCCACGTCAGACACAAGGTGTCAGATTGGCGCGGTACTAAATTCATCGGCGTCTTTGTTTTGCCGTTAGAAGTCGAGGAAGCACCGAAATGACTGTGCGCATTCTTCGCACTCTATTCCAAAACATCCCAATTGTACACTGTGTCTACCCGAAACGCCTCCCAACGGTCTCGACTGCTGGCTTGCAGCCACGGGTCGGCGTTTGGGCCTCCCCGCGCCGAGATCGACCTTCAGTTCAGGGCCTAATCCCTATGCGAGGTCTGTTGAAGTCAGGGGATAGTCAAGCCATGCTCCCACTGATTAGCCTGATAGCCGTGAATCGCCCTAACGATTCACGCAGATGCAGACTCAACCGCGAAGAATCGCCCATATTCTTTTACTGGCAGTCAATATCGCCCCTCCTCGTTCCATTGGGCTGATTCTATCCGAAACATTAGTTAATTTCATGAACTACGCGCAGGCGCCAATCTGACACCGTTTTGTGTCTGATGTGGGCCCACGTCACGCACGAGCAGTCTGTGTGACGCTTAACACTTTACCGACCGGTAGCGTATCAACATCCTATGCACTTCTCACCCGCCGCTCGGCAGCAGATCTTCCCTGGCACCGGGAATTGTACAAAAATACGAGAGCTTACAGAGCAAAGCAACTTTGTATCTCAATTCAAAGTAACAAATAATTGCTAGTTACCGTAGCAGTTACAGGTCGGTAAGCGTTGGGGACAAAAAGTCGATTAATCGACTACCGGTCGGTGAAATGTTAAGTGTGCCTCGAATATTCGTAATTGACGGTTCTAAATTTAGAATATTAGCGGAAGTCGTCCAAAACGCGTTCGAGGTTGTACGCAGTCACGAGAATGGCACCAAATGAAACAGCAAGAAGTACGGAAAGTGTTGTTAGATGACTTTGGGTCTTGGCCCATGTGCGTTCGTGCGAATTGTTTAATTAGGCAACCTACTTTTGCGCAACTCAAAACTTTTCTAGTTATGTCAAATTTAATTTCCTTCTTTAATCGTGGAGTAAAGTAAACTGCTCCTATCTCACGTCAAAGTAAAAACGGGCTACCTTAGGTGGTTTAAAAACACTGTCTACATTGGAGTATGAGGTTAAACTTTACTTTGGGGCACCAAAAGTGATGAACTTTTTTTGTACCATTTAGTAGTTTTTGATGCCTTAATTACAAAAATGAAGGTTAAAATGTTAAAAATCCAACAGTTAAAAAAATACGCGTGTATAAAATTGAGCATTTTTAACGTATTTAGGTGGTGAGTCCGACGTCATATTGGTTTTGACCATGGGTTCGGTGGGTAATTAGGTCGGTAATGTCATTCTGTTGTAAAGAGACGATCATAGATGGCGCGAATGGGGCGCTAATGTGGCGATATGATGTCGACAGTGCTGCCATGCGTTTTAGTTATAACTAGATTAGTTAGTTTTAAGTTTTAGGTTAAATAGTGGCATGAAGACTGTATAAGGAGTTCCAACTATGTAGTGTAGAAGTGTTATCAAAATCCCGAGCTTTAATTTATGAATATTTCGTCCACTCCTGGCGCTAGTGCGGACAGACTACGATATATATATGTCATATCTGTATGTATTATCATATATATATGTAAAGGAGAAATCCTTCAACCCTTGTCACACTACCATACCGACTACGGCTACTCTGTTCCGCCACACGACTACACCCCGAGACCTCTGGCGGAGCAGAACGGTAAAGGATAGCTAGAGCGAAACGTGGGAAAAGGAACATCGCTTTCGATTCTTCTTTATAGGTTAGGAGATATTACTTTGTGTTATTTTGTTCTGTTTGTCATTTTGTTTAATTATTTGTTCACTTTGTTAAATAAAACTAACCTCTTTATAGGGCATCAACGGCTTTCCTTTAATCCCTACCTTCAGAAAGAATTACACTTTTACATATATATGATAACAGTTTTCTAGTAATTTTCGTATGGAGTTGGATCTCCTTATACAGTCTTCATGGTAGTTGGTAAGCCTAGCTCCATGAGACGCGTACTCGAACGGGAAAAAAAATCTGAATTCAGATTGCGAACAGGACTCGTGCAATAGAGAC